ATACTCCTCTATGCATGTAAGAATATGTATGTGGAATTCCACAGTAGCAAAATTTCTAACAGAGAAATACTGGAATCAAGCTAAACATTCAATAATTGGAAAATGGAAAAAAATAGTTTAAAAAAGGGTAAGGTAAATTTTAGAAACAAGACAAATTGTACCCATGATCTATAGACACGGTAAATTAAAAAAAAAGTTTGTAAAATATGATCTGATTTTAGGTTAAAAACAAACAAAACCCATCTACCACACTTTCTAACTGTGGTTACCTCTGGCAATTGTTAGTAGCAGAGAAAGAGAACCTGAGCATTTTATATGAATTGATGTCTGTCTTGTGTGAATTTTTTTTCAATACGTTAATACGAATGCTATTTTAAAATGTAATTTTAAAAAATTTTCTATCACACCCCTTACATTGTAGTTCCTTGAATTACAGTAAGGAGAGACTGAAAGCACTGGCAGTCTCATTAACATGGCCTTTTGAAAACTGATGAATTCATAAAAGCTGCTGAAGATAATCACAATGGAAAAGCAGAAAAGATTTTATATGTATTAAACCAGGACATCACTGCTTATTTGCCTCACTTTTGCCAACCCTAGCAGGCAATCTTTCCAGTCTACTGAGAAACTAGCAGCATCCATTTTCAGTTTAATGTCTCAACTCCTTTGTCTAAAAGCTCTTTGAGAGATCCAAGAAGTTAGCCTGGAGGCAGGCACACCCACAAGCTGTGGTTCAATTAAATCTGCTTCCCGCACCACCCACTCCTAACAGAGCAATACCACAGAGCTGGAAGAGTCCAAAGGAAAGCAAGACTAGATGTGAGGTCTGAAGTCTTTTTTGTCAATTCTCTCTGGAACCTGGAGAGCTCTTGACCTGGGGATAGAAGATTCCTATCCAGGGCACTTGGCATTCAGAGGCTGCCCGTTTATCAAGTTTGCCTGATTTTTTTCCCTTTTCTTCCTCCTAAAGGTTGAGTTCAGCTATCCTGTAGTGGTTCCAGATCAAACCTTTGAAAGAGAGAATTGGAATCTCTCTCCTCCATGATGCTAGAGTCTTCCCTCACCAAGAGCACTTTCAGAATGTTGAATTAATTAAGTGCTTGTTCTTTTACAAGAGACTACGGTGATGGTTCATGGGTGTCTTGGTGGTAGGAATTTTGTGGGAACTACATTGAGAAGAGAAAGGAAACTGTACAAAAATGAATGATGATGTAAAATATAGAGAGAAATTAAAAAATAAATTTTAAAAAATAAGTGCTTGCTTTTAAGGGTTAATTTCAATATGATTTGTTATTAAACCACGAAAGAATGCTCTACTCCACTCTCTCTCTAAATGTTTTAATTAAAAATCTGGGCCTCCCCGGTGGCGCAGCGGTTGAGCGCTGGGTTGAGAAGCTGCCCGCGGCTTCTGCGGCGCCAGTTCGATCCCTGGCTGCTCCCCGGCCACCAGAGGAGGGTCCCACATGGCGCGCAGACCTCTCCTGCCGCCCGCTGCTCCCCTCAGCAGTGTACTTCGGTCCTTCTGCCTGCTCTGCTCCCCGCTCTGGCTCTGGTGAATTCTCTCACCCTCCCGTGCTTCTGACTGTACCCAGTGCATGTATAAACAAAAAACAAACAAACAAATAAATAAATAAATAAAACATGCCTCTATTAAAAAAAAAAAAAAAATCTACTAATGTGACTGGAAGACTCAATACAGTCAAGATATCAAATCTACCCAAACTACTATTTACATTCAACACAATCCCAATAAAAATCCCAGCAGGACTTCTCATAGAAATCAACAAATTGATTCTAAATTTTTGTACAGAAAGTGAAAGGAAAATGAATATGTAAAACAAATCTGAAAGAGAGGACCAAAGTGGCAAAGGCAATTAAGTGGAAAAAGGGTAGTCTTTTCAACAAATGGTGCTAAACAAACATCCATTAAAAAAAAAAACAACACTCCACTGATACCTCACACCATATATAAAATTCAAAATGGACCACAGACCTAAATGTATATCTAAAACGATAAAATTTCGGGCCTCCCCGGTGGCAAAGTGGTTGAGCACTGGGTTGCGAAGCTGCCCACAGCCTCTGCAGCTCCGGGTGAGGGTCCCACATGGTGCGCAGACCTCTCCTGCTGCCTGCTGCTCCCCTCAGCAGTGTATTTCGTCAGTCTGCCTGCTCTGCTCCCCCCTCTGGCTCTGGTGAATTCTCTCACCCTCCCGCGCTTCTGACTGTATCCAGTGCTTGTATAAATAAATAAATAAATTATTTTTAAAAATAAATAAATAAAATGATAAAATTTCTAGAGGAAAATGGAAATCTTAATATTTACAAAAGGATACAATGAACTTCATCAAAATGAAGAACCGCTGGGATGGTTAAAGTAGGTTAAAGGGTAAATTATATGGCAATGGATAGAAATGGACTTTAAGTGGCAAACTAAATAAATGTTGATTTATAACAAAACTGAAACTTAAAAATGCTATCATGCAATGTTCAATTTAAAAAATCATTAAAAAATTAAGAAACTTGACTCTTCAAGAGACACTGCTAAGGGATTAATAAGAAAAATCTCAGATTAAGAAAACCATGTGCCTGATAAAGAACTTATATCCAAAACATATAAAGAATGCTCACAACTTAAGAAAATAATTCAGTTTTTTTATTTTTTTTTATTTATTTTTTTTTTTTTTTTTGTTTTTTTTTTGTTTATACATGCACTGGGTACAGTCAGAAGCGCGGGAGGGTGAGAGAATTCACCAGAGCCAGAGCGGGGAGCAGAGCAGGCAGAAGGACCGAAGTACACTGCTGAGGGGAGCAGCGGGCGGCAGGAGAGGTCTGCGCACCATGTGGGACCCTCATCCATGTGGGACCCTCATCCGGTGGCCGGGGAGCAGCCGGGGATCGAGGGGATCGAACCGGCGCCTCAGAGGCTGCGGGCAGCTTCGCAACCCAGCGCTCAACTGCTGCGCCACCGGGGAGGCCCAATTCAGTTTTTTTAAATGAGAAAACATCTGAACATTTAAAATGTTCAAATTTGATGTTTTATTAGCTATAAGGGTGACAAATAATCACAAGTAGAGGCTCAACATCATTTGTCATAAGGGAAATGCAAGTTAAATCCACAATGAAATATCACTACACACTGAGAACCTGAGAGTATTAGAGAAGATACACAGCAACTCTAACTCTAAAAATAGTTTGGCAGCTTCTTATAAAGTTAAGCATATAGTTATCTAGGATTCAGCAATCCCATTCCTAGTGTCTACCCAAGAGAAATGAAACCTATGTCCACACAAAAACTTGTAAGCAAATGTTTATAGTAGCTATAAAACTATAAATGACCTAAACATTCTTTAGTGAGTGAATGGGTTAACTGTGGTATTCGCATAAATGGAATACTACTCAGCAATAAAAAGGAGCCAATTACTGATATATGCAACAACACAGATGAATATCAAATGAATTATGCTAACTGACAGAGGCTAGATGCAAAAGGGTACATTCTCCATTTACACAACATTCTGGATCAGGCAAAATTATTTGGACAGACATCAGAGCAATGGTTGCCAGGGGTAGGGGAGGGTTGTGGGACTGACTACAAAGGGACACAAGGGAATTTTTTGGTGTGATGAAACTGTTCTGTATCCTGATTATGGTGGCAATTAAATACGTTTGTCAAAGCTCCAGAACTGCACACAAGAATGAATTTTACTGTATCTAAATTATAACTTTAAAAAAAAAGCTCCAGGGCCTCCCCGGTGGCGCAGCGGTTCAGCGCTGGGTTGCGAAGCTGCCCGCAGCCTCTGCGGCGCCGGTTCGATCCCCGGCTGCTCCCCGGCCACCAGAGGAGGGTCCCACATGGCGCGCAGACCTCTCCTGCCGCCCGCTGCTCCCCTCAGCAGTGTACTTCGGTCCTTCTGCCTGCTCTGCTCCCCGCTCTGGCTCTAGTGAATTCTCTCACCCTCCCGCGCTTCTGACTGTACCCAGTGCATGTATAAACGAAACAAACGAACAAACAAACAAATAAATAAATAAAACATGCCTCTATAAAAAAAAAAAAAAAAAAAAAAAAAAAAAAAAAAGCTCCAGATGGAAACCATAATAAACAAAAGAACTACTATGAAAAGATCCACAAAGTTTCTGCATGCTAGAAGAAAACCCTTTCAAAGAAGATCATTAAAAAAATTTCTACAATGTCATATATATATGTACACATTCTCTGGGCCACCCTCACCCTTTGACAGAGTCCTAGAAAAGGATACTTCAAAAGAAAACATTCCATCCCCCATTCTTACCTGAACCAGGCACTGTTCTGGCACTGAAAGAAGGCACTAGTAATACCCATAAAGGACCTAGTCGCTACAAGCCATAAAGTGCTGTGAGAGGCGACAGGAGTTCCTTCAAATGTCAGCAGGAACTGCCTTGCCCCTTCTCGTCCTTCCTTAGGAGAACAGAGGAAGTCACTCACTCTCCAGCAGTGCACACTCTCCGTCTGGCTGGATCTCAGTCCCGCAGCATTCACTCCTTCACAGAGGAAACTGTATTTTGCAGAGGTAATGAAAGTAGGCCAAGGCAACAGAGCACTCTAGTTACCGGGTGGCAGCCAATCACGGCCCCTCCCCAGGAGTGCCTCTCTCTGAGGTCAGGGCTCAAAGCAGAGTCTGTGCCGCCAGCCTGAACCCAAGGGACTGACTTGTTGGGCTTGTTTTTCCACAGCATTAACTTGAAAGTTTATGATTTGAGACCCCAAATCAACTTCTGCTACAATGTCGGCTGTCTCCCCTGATATGGGTCTCACCTAACCTGACCTAACCTTTTCCTTGCTTTATGGGCTATAAGGTGGCGATCCAAATCCAACCTAGGGAATTGAAAATGAAAGACCATAATACACCCACCACCCCAGACTGCCATAAGCCCCGGAACATTTTAATTTCCTCCCACCTGGATCACAAACTTTGAAAATTCTTTTGGAGTTGTTTTTGCTGGGGAGGGGGCATAAGATGTACCTTTTGTTTTTCCATCCACTGACACCAGCTTCTTTGTTTCTGCTGTTAACAATAGCTCATAAGGATGTTCATCCTCTTCCCTGGCTGCACTTCCCTGAATCCGGGGTCTCATGGCCAAGACCTAAGAGAGAAAAACATCACAGTGCTTCTGGTGTATGAGGCTCATACCAAAAGAGGTTAGGTTGAACAAATTGAGATAATTGGCTCCTTTTTCATTTCAGAGGAAGAGGGGAGGGGAAGAGAAAGTAAAGAACTCAAGGGCTGCATGGAATCACACTGCCCTTCTGGATCTGCACCTGTACCTTGAAATCTCAATGGCCCTTGATGAAAACACCCCCCCCCCCCCCTTTTTTTTTTTTTTTTTTTTTACCTCTTTTTAGCCTTCCAGAAACCATATACAAAATCCAAGCACCTCCCTTCCCTTGCCTGTCCCACCTCTACAGTGTTCTGCATGATCTCTTTTCTCTGGATAATGCCTCCAAACTCTGCATCATAAAGGTCTTCTTTCTCCAAGTTTCTTTCCTCATATGCACGCACGCACAACCCTAAGGCTGGAATCCTTCCCACCTTCTCAAGAAGAAATCAAAACAACTTCTGACTGACCCTGAGTGACTGACACATGCCAGAAGCAAAGTGCTCTTTATATCCTTCTCTGTTTTTGTGGCCTCACTTCATAGGTCCTGTGGGGTATAGGGAAGACTGTCCTCAAAGCCAGCTTCCTATCACATTTAAGGTAATACAATTTTGAATGGATTCCACCGATCTTTATTCTGGAAAGAGTCGGGTTTCAGCAGAGAAAAAGCTGCTCTGTGTAGAGAAGTCTTTATTCAAGGTGTAACAGGGTGGTCCCCAGGAAAGGGGGAGGTTCCCTGCCCCACCCAAGGGAGGGTGGAGCTGAGCAGGAAGAGGAGAAGCTGAAGAAGAGACTGAGGTAGGAAGCAGGATGGAGCCAGGAGACCTGGAGGAGGCGCACGGAGCCTAGAGACACGTGAAAAAACTGCGCTTGTCTTCTGGTCGTGGACTGGGTGACACAGATGTGGGTGAGACCCGTGGGGAGGTGACAATGGCAGCTTTTATCTTGATGTTGATTTTGCTCTTTTCCTTCCGGGCTTGTCCGGTTGTTTGTGACCCTTTTCTGTGGGTCCCCACTGGAAGATGCTTTAGACTTGTGGCAGGCTTTGGGGCCTTGCTCTGGGCCAATCCCATATGGATGGACTTTTACCCACGAGGGGACGGGTAACTTTGGGTGCTTCATTTAGAAACTAGACTCTTTGCCTTACCTGTATTGTTTCCTAGTTTTATTAAAGTTCCTTCCCATTAAAGTCTCCTATGTTATGTGTTGATGCGGCGGATGGCAGAACCCATTTAGAATAGGCAGGTTTGCGGGGTTTTGGGCTGCCCCTCTCCCTGTCCTATAACAGATGGAAGGAAGCAGGATGGAGCCAGAAGGAGACCTGGAGGAGGTACATGGAGCCTAGAGACATGTGAAGAAACTGTGCTTGTCTTCTGGTCGTGGACTGGGTGACACATATGTGGGTGAGACCCGTGGGGAGGTGACAATGGCAGCTTTTATCTTGATTTTGATTTTGCTCTTTTCCTTCTGGGCTTGTCTGGTTGTTTCTGACCCTTTTCTGTGGGTCCCCACTGGAAGATGCTTTAGACTTGTGGGAGGCTTTGGGGCCTTGCTCTGGGCCAATCCCATTTGGATGGCGTTTTACCCACGAGGGGACAGGTAACTTTGGGTGCTTGATTTAGAAACTAGATTCTTTGCCTTTCCGGTATTGTTTCCTAATTGTATGAAAGTTCCTTCCCATTAAAATCTCATATGTTTTGTGTTGATGGCGGAACCCATTTAGAACAGGCAGGTTTGCGGGGTTTCGGCTGCCCCTCTCCCTGTCCTGTAACAAAGGCAGTCAAGTGTTTCTGATGAATCAAAACCAGAGCAGGTTCTCCACCTGCCCAATGACTTCAGGCAGCTGACCACCCAGTGGCCACAGCTAATCTTAGTGTCAGAGCAGCCCCGCCTTTCCTTGAACCAAACCTGAAATACAATTAATGCTACCTTCACAAAGAGAAAGACAATGGGGATCCTTTCTTTTTAGAGGATTACTCTGGTTCATCTGACCTAAGAATCCAACGTTTCACAGGCAAATTAAGAATAAGCATATACCAGCTACTAGGAGAGCAAACCAAATGACAAAATCTCTTCCGGAGCAGCGTGGCTAGGGTAAGTAAGTATATCTTCTATACGAGGGGGTGAGGGGAATTCCCAATCCCACCTAACAATAGTAGCTTATAACCATGATTCTCTGGCACATGCAGAAAACTCCTCCTTCACCGACATGTCCCACGGCTACTGGAAACAATCAGGTTTGTGATCCAATAGGGTTTTGCTTCTTGGAGGCACAGAGCACTGTGTTAAGCCTAATGAGACAACAAGGCTGCCCTGACGAAAGAGAGCCTGCAGCTCCTGTTTGTTAACAAGGCTGCCACTCTAAAGGCAGAATGATCGTCTCCTTCCAAAATCCTGCGAAGCACAGCAGGAACCTCCACTTACTGAAAGCCACCTGGAAGCTAACAGCTATTTCATTACAATGAGCCATTTGCTTATATTCCTTATTCCTTTGCCTCTTCACAGGAACACAATTAAGGGAACAAAAAGGGACCATTAAGCAGTTCATACAGTGTCAACTTAATACCACAGGCTTTTCAGACAGAATTTGTGTTCCAAGGTTTACACACCCATAGCTATCACTTAAGCAGAGCCCTGGAAATCTGACTCTGAGTGCTCGGCACACAGCAAGAGCTCTCATACAGCCCCCGCTTGTTTCTCTGAGAGGTATTTGACAGCCTGGATGCCAGGCCTATAATATCCTTCTTTCTCAAGCAGGACTGGGCTGATGACTTCCATCTGGAAAATCAGACCCACTGGACCTGTGTTCACTCCGTGCCTGGCTCTTGTGCAGACAACTGGAAGCAGAGAACTAGCAAATGTCAGAGCTGGAAGAGATGTGAGCCATTACTATCACAGCTAGTGGGCACCTGCTTTCAGCCCTTTCATTTTGCAGATGACAAACCTAGTTGCCAGGGAGGGTGGGGTCCTGTCCAAGGTGACAGAGCTCCCAGCAAAGCCAGGGCCACAAAATTCAGTTCACCCAATTCTGGACCAAGTTGGGTTCGTTTTTTTCTGTGAAGTATGATTTCTCCAACCCATCTGGAATTTTTCCTCACCTTCCGATGTCTAATAAGAGTTCTCTGCTCATACCCAGACAACTTGCAGGGTGATCTTTTCTTCTTGATGGCCCCTACCAGCTAGGGGACTAAAATCTGACAAGAAAGTAATAAACTACTTTTTTTTCCCAAGCCCTCCTAGTTCCCGCTCAAGAAGCCCTGTGTCACAGTGAATATGGTAATAACTGATTTTCAACAGAAAGGGTTTGTTCTTCACTACATTATTCCTTCATCTTTTCCCCATTGCTTCCAGGGCTGGCAATAAATCAAAGCCAGAAGAAAAACAGCAGATAAGTCTGCTCTATGGAAAGAGCAGTCAACACCTCTCTGATCAATGGGATGGCCAGCCAGGGTGGGGCACTGTCACCGCAGAAGAACCATAGCCTCTGCAACTTCCCAGGAACTTCAGCACATGTGAGCACAGAGAAGACCAGTCAGGCCAATGCAGCTGCCAGTCTACTTGGTTGGCAAAAACCTCTAAATAGTGTGTGCAAGTGCATGTGTGCATTTTTGTATTTGTTTAATTTTTTTTAAAGATTTATTTATTTATGCATATAAGCCAGAGGTGCAGGGCAGGGCAGTGAGAGGATTCACCAGAGAGATTGGGGAGCAGAACAGGCAGATCTACTGAAATACACTGCTGAGGGGAGCAGCAGGCAAGGCAAGAGAGGTCTGCTGCACCATGTGGGTTGCTCCCTGGCCAGAAGGGGATCGAACTTATGCTGCAGTGGCTGGTGATAGCTTGATAGCGCTGTGTTTAACCCCTGCGCCACCAGGGAGGCCCGTATTTGTTTAATTTTTAAAGCCAGTTTCAGGCCTCCCTGGTGGCACAAAGGGTTAAGACCCAGCACTATAGCTAACCGCAGCCACTGCAGCAGGAGTTCGATTCTTGGCCAGGAAGCTGACCCACATGGCGCAGCAGACCTCTCCTGTCTCGCCCATTGCTCCCCTTAGCAGTGTATTTCAGTCAATCTATTTGTTCTGCTCCCCATTCTGTCTCTGGTGAATCCTTTCAACCCCTGCATCTCTGGCCTGACCCCACCTATTGTATGCAAAAATAAATACATCTTTAAAAAAATAAATAACCAAAGCTAGTTTCATGATCTGGTTGTTATTCTGTTTTTCAGGAGTCAGATAAAGTCAGTTTCCTTAAAAGGCTTCTATGGAGCTGCCAAATACAAAAGTCTGAACTTGGGTGAAGCCAGGACCTCCTAAAAATCAGGTTTATGGGATTAAAACTTTTGTATAAGATGGGCCTCTCCAGTGGCGCAGTGGTTGAGCGCTGGGTTGCGAAGCTGCCCACAGCCTCTGCAGCGACAGTTCAATCCCCGGCTGCTCCCCGGCCACCGGAGGAGGGTCCCACATGGTGCGCAGACCTCACCTGCCGCCCGCTGCTCCCCTCAGCAGTGTACCTCGGTCCTTCTGCCTGCTCTGCTCCCTGCTCTGGCTCTGGTGAATTCTCTCACCCTCCCGCGCCTCTGACTGTACCCAGTGCTTGTATAAATAAAAAAATAAATAAATCTTTAAAAAAAAAAAGAGAGATATAAGATTATTTCTCTTAAAAAAAAAAAAAAAACTTTTGTATAAGAAGTAAAGATGGTGAAGACTACAGAGTCCAAAAAAAAAAAAAGAAGAAAATCTACTTTTGGAGAAGACCTATTCCGACTACAGCACACAAACAGAATCTGCCTTAATCATTAAAATGATAATGACCCAGATCATATCACTGCTCTCCTCTTTCTCTCTTTCTATATCTATTTATATCTATATATGTAAAATCATCACCATGTAAGCCAGGGTTCTGTCTTTCAAATACTGACTATGGTGGTCAAACTGACCCAGAATTCCAGGCTGTTCAGAGACTGGCACCCAGGAGAATCATATAAATTTCTCCCCCTACCTCCTGATGCGGGCTTATTGCCAAAATGCATGATCTAAAAAGCCTTGGGAGAAAAGAAGTCCTGGTTATCCATTATTTCTCTAAGAGCCATGCCCTTATTCTTAGGCACTGGGAGTTTTAATCCAAGTCCTTGTTAAAGGACTAATAGGGAGTATGCTCCCTATTACCAGGTTTCTCCTTATAAAAAGGGAATAAGGAAGCAAACCTCTGTATAAAAACATGTGAGGATTTACTCCATACATTTACATGTACTAGCAATGTGTTATTACTCTAGAGGCTGTAATTCTACAGATTCCTTAGTTGAGACATGATAAGCATCTTGTAATTAAGGGATAGAATGAAATAAGGAAAGAATTTGTACCCAGCACAGAAATGTTTCCCTATCTCCAACATCCACTTTCACATTTTTAAAAGGGCTTTCTTATACATTTTAGTAAGCAAAAACCATCTTTCTGGTTCAATGTGTTTATGATAAATAAAAGAACCTATCTCACTGGATACTCCCTGGCAATACTGTATAAAAATTAACTTAGGCTTCTAGGGATAAAGTAATGAGACTTAATTGATTAGGTTATAAAAGCTGATTGATAAATTAAAGAACAATAGGACAGTGAATGAGCCACAAAATAACTACTGAAATTAAGCAATATTTTGAATACTCAATAAACATGTTAAAGATGCATTTTGAAGATGAAAGGTAAGGAAAATATGATTTGCTTCATGTACTAAAGTGAGAAAATTGAGCTACTGAACTACAACAGCATTCATTTTTTATTTTTTTTGAAAATATTTATTTATGCATACAAGAGCTGGAGTATGGGCCAGAGATGTGGGGAGTGAGAGGATTCACCAGAGACAGGTGGGGAGCAGAACAGACAGATTGACTGAACTACACTGCTGAGGGAAGCAGTGGGCAAGACAGGAGAGGTGCGCTATGCCATGTGGGTCTCTTCCCCGGCCAGCGATCGAATTTGTGCTGCAGTGGCTGGGGATAGTTTCATAGTGCTTTGTCTTAACCCTTTATGCCACCATGGAGGCCCAGCATTCATTTTTTTTAATAGGTACACTATTATTTTTCAAATAAGCTTCTTTGATTCCTCCCCAGCCCATGACTCCTATCTCTCTTCTAATTGAGTATAGATTTTTCATGTGAAATGGAGAAAAAGCAAAGTCAGAAATGATATGCTTGGGGCAAAGCCACCAAAGCTTGCTTGGTAATTAGGAGATGCTTTACATTTTCTATTAGAAAAAAAAACACAGGTAGAAAATCAAAAAGTGACATTGTTTAGCCTATTGGAGTTTGGAAAATGAGATGTTTTACTTTCCATGTAGCATGTGGTCAATCAGTATCTGATCTGTCTGGTAGGCAGTTCTATTAACATTCTTTGCTTAGTAATTTTAAGCAAGTTTAAAAGCCTTGTTCTGGATCACTGATCCACACAATACAAATTTACTAATCCAAAGAGGTAATAAAAAAACAAGAAAGCAAGGTCTTCTCTGAGCACATATTGATACACAATCCAAAAAATCATATTTTAGGGGGCCTCCCTGGCGGCCTAGGGGTTAAGTCTCAGCACTATCACCACCACAGCCTGAGTTCAATCCTTGTCCAGGGAGCTAACCCTGTTCAGCCTGCTGCTCCCCTCAGGAGTATATTTCAGTAGATCTACCTGTTCTGCTCCCCACTCTGTCTCTGGTGAATCCTCTCACCCCCTGCACCTCTGTCCCAAACCCCAGTTCTTCTATGCAAAAATAAATAATATCTTTTAAAAAATCATATTTCAGTGATGGGAATAAACCCTTTACCTCAGAAGCTGTCAAGGGAAGATATTTCTTATCTATGCATTCCTCCTCTTCTTCATCTGGTGGTGGCTTTGCAGGAGGTGGTGGACGTTCCCTCTGTAGAAGGAAAAATAAGAATTTGACTATCTCTTCAAGTATCTAACTTTTTGTTTACTCTTATCATGGCCCTTAGAAATGGAAAATGTTAATGTAAAGAACTAAATTCAAGACTTACAGTCTCTGAATGGATAGAAAATCTTGTAGATGCCTGTATGCACACACGCACACAAGCACAAGTACATGTGCACGCACACAGCAGGTAACATGCTGTCTGGTTTTTAGTATTTGTAGCAAAGATTATAAACACCTCTTTCAAATTGCCCTTATAATATTAGCACCTAAAACTCTAGTATAAGAAAACCAGTGGCTCAACTTTTGGTCTATTCTAAAGAAAGGAAACACTAAATCAAAAGAATCAACTTGCCAAAGAGTTCTAATAAACTGGCTATTAAGGAAGTAATGAGGAAAGTAATCAAGGACAAAAATATCAATTCTTGCTCAGACTTTAATGCTCTGATACGGTCTATGCCCTTTTATTGGCAAAAGTTCAAAACCAGTCTTTTACCCTTGGTTACTTCCTTCAATGATTACCATTATGTATCAATATCATTAGCATATGAAAACCCTTTTTTTAATCTAAACCTATTAAAAAGGAATATTTGTTAGTTATTTGCCTTAGAGCAGGAATTAGCAAGCTTTTTCTTAAAGGGCAACAGAGTCCATTTAAGGTCATTATGCCACTGGAAAACAAAAGTAGCCACAGAAAATATGGACATGAATGAGTGTAGCTATATTCCACCCAAACTTTATTTACAAAACAGGCACCTGCTGGGGGGGCCACAGTTTGCTAGATCCTGCCTCAGAGCTGAAGAGGGGGAACACTCGATTATTCAGATCATGGGTAGGGAGTTTCAAGAATATACAGACTATTCATGCTTCATAATCAAAGTTCCTGTAGGGAAGGGAGTGGGATCCTGACACAGGAGTTGGCTTGTAGGCTCATTCCCTGGCTTGCAGGTTAGCTCAAGATTTTGGGTTTGCTGTGTTGCTAGAACAGTAAAGACAAAAATTATGTGCCAGCCCCAGGGAAATCTGCAAGGAAAGATGTTTCTTGTATTTTAGGAGCTCCAAAGGTTAGCATTTGGCATCCAGGATCTCTCTGCTAAGCATGCTTCACTGTGCAGTGTTGTATCTTGATATGTGCCATTCCCAGAGTTGCTAGAACCAGATGGATGTCCAACAGCATCAATTCCAAGACCGCCTGGAGGTTCAAGCCAAAGCTATTTAGATCTGATTTCTCACTGAGTCCCATCTCCCTACTCTTCTTTGCTCCAGAAGCATAGAAATAAGCCTGGTCTCAGTGACACCTTGTGAGGAAGGGAACAGTGAAGGGAGGAGGCGCACACCCACCAGCTATCTGGCCCTGCGACACTAATAGGCGAGACAAACAAAATGAAACACAAAAAGGGCAAAAAGGACCCATCCTAGAAATCTTCCCAAAGCAAAAAGCCTAGAAAGAACACTATGAAAGACTTTTGAGGAATAAGTCATCACCAGAAACACTGACGGAAACAGAAGCACCCACAAGCTCCTTTTTTTTCTAATGTGAAAACGTTCACCCAGGAGCCTGGAAGCACAGAACTGGTTTATACATATCATTTTTGTGTTTATCAAGATGTTAATTACCAAGGGCCAGGAAGGTTACATGGCCACACATACACAAGTAAAAACGACAAAGCATGTACCGCAAGATCTAAGTTTCTACTTAGCAGGACCATAAGAGGTTAGATTCCTAAAGTGGAATGGAACAAAGAGACTAATGCAAATCCATGGCTCAGCCCCACAGAAACTTGGTTATTCAAGCTTACTTGAGTAACCCTGTGTTCCTCTTGCAAAGCCTCCAGCTCCCTCTGATGGGCATCACCTGTAAGTACCACTTAAAGCAAAGCCTTTCCCCACAGCTGGATTCACTTAATTTCACTTGTGCCAAACAGTGAAAGAAGTGGGAAAAGACAGCTGTATCTACGGAAGTGCACGCGAGTGCAGCTTGGTGTATGCACTTGGTGGGCGGGTGGGCCTTTCCAGAATCCATACTGAAATGATGGAGCTATTCCAGGATAAGGCAAGGAGTTTAAAAAAAAAAAAAAAAAAAAAAAAACACCGAGAAGCATCAGGCCACTCTTAGGGCACAAATGAAAAGTGCAAGGGTGATCTAGCAGTCAAAAGATCACCAAAATGGTCGTAAGCCAGCAGCTTCAGACGGAAAGGGAAAGGCCAGCCTCTCTCAAGAGTGAGACATAATATATACCTGAAAATATACCTCCAGTTTGGAGTATCACTGGGGGTCCTTTAGAACAGTGGCCAGTTTAGTAAAAGCACAGTGCTCAAAATCTCAAATTATCGTCCCTGGCAATACAAAGTGGTGGGTCAGGGGACCAGTGGTTCAGACATAGGTTCACGGTAAAATGCAAAGAAAGAAAAAGGGGGTGAGGAGTTTTGGAAACAATGTACAAGACTGGAAGGAGGAGCAAGCACTAGGTGGGAAGGTGAGAAGGGAAAATTCAGGGTGTTCTCACTTTATTATTTCAACGGCTAGAGGGGTCATAACTGGCAGAATAGAAATGACATATACTAATACACACATATACAATACACACAACCCTGCTGAACACAGAGTCTGCCCGCATCCAAAGGTGTGATTCTTTGAGGGCAAAGAGAAGGCATGCGTGTACTCAGGCACACAGAACTTATTTTACTGAGCTCCATAACTGCAGGAACTGCTCTCCAGAGAGAAAATGAACAATGTATAACCAAAGAGAGATGCAGCACTGAGGCTCAATAGAATACTTTCATTGGCGCTAAGGTCAGAGAGTAATAGAAAGATGCAAACAGATTACACTGAAATTGGAAAAACTGGAATTCTACTTCAATGCCATCTGCATAGTTTTACCACATTGAGGAAGAGGGAAATGCGTCAGAGCCCCAGCAGAACAGGGGAGTTGAGTGCAGGTCTGGGAAATGCAAGTTGACACTAGCATTTCCTTGGGGGTTATTACTACTGACACTTCCTCTCTCCAGTGCCCCCCTCCCCGTTCCCCCTACTCCCCAAACCCTGCCCCTGGCCAAATCCAAGTTGCTAAGGCCCAACCACATACAGGCCGCACTCCTGCTGCTTTCACTCCTGCTGCCTCTGACTCCTTGTTCACCGAGTCACGGTCAGACGATCGCCCGCTGGCCATGCTGTCCAACGAATGGCAGGAGATGGCATTGTACAGAGACTCGTAGGAACACTCATCTTCAATATTTGTGTCAAAATCAATGATCAGTTCAGTCACTGCTTTCTCCACATCACCTGAAGTAGAGGTCAGAGGGCAAGAGAATCAATGGAGGGAGAGGACAGAATGGATTTCCAACCACCACAATAACCCAAAGACCCTTCTGCAATCAGAACTTGACAAACACTAACCCCGAGCAGGAAAATAAATGCCTGGTCTGCTCCTCAGACAGGAACAGATGTTTCAGTTGCTGTTTCTAACTTTAGACAGTTAAACAGATTTTTCTCAAATTCAGTATTTGTGAAACACTTGACATCTATGAGGGATACCTGTCAAGACCTTTATAAATTTCAAAATACTTCAATGCCATTATAGCATAAACTTAAAACCATAAAATGTAGCAAAGCGTAACTGAAAAACATAATCCTTTAAATTCTTAGCAAGAACTTGCCTGGCCTCAAGCAAAAATAGAGGACTGCCACAGGCACTTTCCGCCACCAAGGCACCTTATGTCTATGGGGCTCACTCACTAGCTAAGTACCACCCCAGAGCACCTGAGATCCAGATTAAGGACACTGCAAAATTAGCAACTGCTCCAGGCCTCTGGGTCACTTGCAAGTTATCAAAGCTGTGACTGTAAAATCCTTGAAAACTGAGAGCTGAGTGAATTACTAATCCTATTACTAGTAGATTATGGGGTCAAGAAAAAAAGTAGGGACTGGGGAGGAAAAGAACTCTGCAGGAAAGACAGGCTGAGCACCCTTTCACCCTTATACCTCTGTGCTCCTTTTAAGAATTCCCTTCCCTTTTTAGTGCCTGGTTTTATTCAGTTTCTCTAGTATTCTTTATTGTGATTTGTGTCAGGGGGAAGGTGTCAGTCAATATCTTGTCTTTCTCACTCTTCCTACCTAGGACCAAACGGCTGCTCAATAAATCTGAAAAGAACGGCACGTATTTAAAAAACTGGCAATAGGGCCTCCCCGGTGGCGCAGCGGTTGAGCGCTGGGTTGCAAAGCTGCCCGCGGCCTCTGCGGCGCCGGTTCGATCCCTGGCTGCTCCCCGGCCACCGGAGGAGGGTCCCACATGGCGCGCAGACCTCTCCTGCCGCCCGCTGCTCCCCTCAGCAGTGTACTTTGGTCCTTCTGCCTGCTCTACTCCCCGCTCTGGCTCTGGTGAATTCTCTCACCCTCCTGCACTTCTGACTGTACCCAGTGCATGTATAAACAAACAAACAAATAAACAAATAAATAAATAAAACATGCCTCTATTAAAAAAAAATAAAAAATAAAAATAAAAATAAAAAACTGGCAATAACAAATGTTGGCGAGGATGTGGAGAAACAGGAACTCTCCTGCACTGCTGGTGGGAGTGCAAACTGGTCCAACCACTATGGAAAGCTGTGTGAAGGTTCCTCAAACTACTATTAGGAATCTACCCAAAGGCACAAAAACATTAATTCAAAAGGATACCTGCACCCCTATGTTCACTGCAGCACTATTTATAATAGGTCAGATATGGAAACAATCCAAATGCCCAAAAATGTGGTATAGATACACAATGGAATACTACTCAGCAATCAGAAAAGACAAACTCATGCCATTCGTGGCAACATGGATGGAGCTGGAAGGGATTATGCTCAGTGAAATAAGCCAGAAGGAAAAAGAAAAACATTGGCTGGTTTCACTTATAGGAGGAATATAGGAGAACCAAATAAGGGACCAGGAAAAAAAAAAAAAATATATATATATATATAATTTAAAAAAAATTAGCAGGCAACTATAAATCAGAAACATTCTGCAGGGAAGGGCAGGAAGAGGGATCAAAACGGGGTTGGGGGGACTATGGCAATGGTTCACGGGCGAGTAGGTGGTAGGAATTTTATGGGGACTACGCCTGAGAGAAGTACAAAAATGAACAGTGATATATAAAACACACATATGTATAAACATTTAAATAAATAAATACATCTGTAAAGGTGGATCCTGGCAAATGAGGGAGAGGCTGGACTGCCCAAGCTCACCCATTTGTAGGTCAACACCCAATATTTGTTGGTCAAGTGACACTTTACCAAGATCACACAATATTGACTATGGGCCAACATGCTTGAGGCACTAAAGTATATGTCAAGATGACTTGAAATCGAGAGATCATCTTGCCTATTATACACCCTAGAACAGATTTCCTGGCAAGTATAAAAGTAGAGAACAAAATAAAGAAGGAAAGGTGAGTCACAGTCCCAGGGCTCAGCTATGTCCAATAAATTTCACAGAAGAGCTGAAAAAATGAGTTTGAATATGAACTTATTAAATACGTCTACCCTCCCTGAAACTATTTAAGCTATTTTTCATTCTATGCAAGAATTTTCAATTCTTTTCAAGCTGAGAGCCCCTTTGCTGACAGAGAAGAGCTGCCTTACCCTGAGACTTCTGTGATATGGAGTCCAAGTTGGAGATGAGAGGTGGCTGCGGTGTAGGAGTTTTATCTACCTCTTTTGCACTTCTTTTTCCATGCGTGTGATCTATGTGGAAAGACAAAATAAGCTGCACCAAATACAAGTGCCTTGTTGAGGGAGTGCATCCCCTGCTTGCCCTGACAGGGAGATGGACCAGTACCTTCAATAAGTGCTGCTATCTGTTGGCTCTTCTGAGAAGGCAGCTCTCGGACAGTGTCTAGAGCAGTCAGTCCACGGTTATCTTTAATGTTGACATCAATTCCTAGAGGAAGGTGCACCGGATGGAGCAGGGGAATGAGCATTGTCAAGCCAGCCTCCAGGGCGCCTACCAGTCCCAAGCAGTATAACCACATTTTTCATCCAAAGCCATTTAATCCAGCAATTCAAGGACAATTCATACACTTGCAATCAACCAGTGGAGACACACATACACTGGGTTCAAATGCAGCCAGCAAAAACCCCCCTCCAGGGAGGATGGGGGAGACAATCCCCACCCTGGCATGCTGTGTAGACAAGAGCACTGCCGACCTCTCACCTGCAGCCAGCAGGATTTGCACCACATCGGTCTTGCCAAACAAAGCAGCCTCATGCAAAGCACTGCCCTTCTCCGTCTGGAAAGCAAACGAGAGCGCAGAGCAGGATGTCGTCAGAACAGTGACCCAGGTTTGGTGTGCTTTCACACAACAAACGGGACATAGGCGACAGGTGAAAAGGGACAGGAAAATAAAATGAACCATACAACATCCTCTGTCATTATCTTTCCTGCTTTTCTTGTCTGGATTCCAAAATCACAACCGTGGCCACACATCATCAGTATCAGATGTGCCACCAATAGGCCACATGTGAGTAACTGCACCGCTACCCTCAGAGGCACCGATTGGTGAAAATCCTCAAAAGTCCACCATCCTGGGTGTAAGGAATAATGAGGGGAAAAATACAGGGGAAAAACTTCATATATGGTTTGTCAATAGAATGGCCATTCATCTGGATGGAGAAAGCTAACAATGTAGGGAAATGCTAAGCCTTCTACAGGCAACATCAAGTTGATGGGGCTTCAGAGACAGGAGATGGTGGCAGCGGGAGCACAAGTAGAGCGAGGAAAATAGGAAGATAATGCAATTTTTCTACTTTCGAGAGCTAGTCCATTAGCACATCTTTTCAGGGTGTAATGACAGTATATAAGCCCTGAAAAGAAAGAAAACAGAACAGACTCACTGGAGGGGTTTGTCTCTAAAGTTTCACATTAAAATGGAAGCATCTGGCATGTGATGTGAAACGTGCTAAATAAGAACACAGCCTAGCAGCAGGGTACTTGTGCCTTTTCCAAAATGACTAGGTCCCTTGAATCTGGGAGGTACATCCGCCCCACTACCTGGTAGTTGCTATCCATGCCAGCATCCAGGAGGACCTGGACCACAGCTTTGTGGCCGTTCCTCGCTGCCAAGTGCAGGGGGGTATGCTTCTTAGTGTTGCAGCTCAAGAGGTTGGGGTGTGCGTTGAGAAGCATCTTCACCACCTCCAGTCTCCCATACAGTGCAGCCAGGTCCAGAGGCGTCTCAAATTTGTTGTTGCGCATGGTGGGGTCTGTTAGCTCCTCTAAGAGAACCTTCACCACCTCCGTGTGGCCATACTGCGCTGCGCAATGCAGGGCCGTCTCGTTGTCATTGTTCTAAAGAGTTAACAAGCAGATCACATCAGAAAGATGACTGGCAGGCTGGCACATCACTAGGACAATCACATCGAAAACCGTTGAAATTTAAATGAGAAAAATAGCAGCAATGCTTGGGAACTAACAGAAGACAGACTCCAGACACAGCACTCCCCCGCAAACTAGTCTGGCTGCTCTAATCAGCCACATCTTCCCCAGTTACTACAAGAGGGACGAAGTCATCTCTTCAACACTGCAGGTGCAGTCTCTTGTGTGCTGAAAAGGAAGTGTCTCCAGATTTGGGGGCGGGGGGAGTGAACTAGGTAATGTAGCAGGCCTTGGGGAGAAGCCCTGGCCTGGATGCATGCCAATAACATCACTGCCATTGATTCTCTTTAAATTTCAACTGGTTTTTACAATTTATAGTCCACCCTGCGGTTCTGATTCTGGATCTCGACCATCAGTTGCCTTCCACACAAGCTTTTTAGAGAAAATTTGTCATCTGCATTTCAATCAGCCACCTTGCATGCAAATCAATCAGCCACCAATGAAAGCAACAGAGCAGAGAACCAAAAATCACTCTCAAGATTATTAGCCAACAGCCATTTCCAGGGGAGGGAGGCGCCTGAGTTCAGTCATGGTCACGGAGGATCGTGGGCCTCTAAGGCTGCCTTATGCTACTCCAGGAGCTTGCGCCAATCAACACATGCAGAATCTACAGCACAGGGACGTGTTCTCATGTAAGATGGACACAACCAACAGTGCAATGAATGTATTTTGTGAGAGGTGCAAAATATTCAAAATTATTGTAACAATGCCATCACTGCTATTCAAATTCACAACCCCATGGTCTTCCAAATGTTAATTTTGTTTCAAAGGAAAGGTAGGACCTGCATAAAACAGGAGAAGTTTGTGCTTTATCAACCATCTAAAGTAAATGCTAATCAAGCCAATGATGCTTTCTTTTACTACTACTGACAATGTATATTAGAGCAGGAATGAAGAAAATTCCATGCCCTTTCCTTTTTCAGAAGCATTAATGAAAATCATTTCCCTACAAGATCTTGAGATTCCTGAATTTTTCCATCAGGCTTCTGCCACTTCAGGAGAACAAAGTTTACGAGGGGTGCGACCAGCAAGTCAATATTGTGCACCTTTCAGTGACCAAAAGATAAACATTAAACATTTCCACAATTGCTTTAATTTTATTAACAATGTTAAAAGTAACCAGACTAGGAGTTACCCAAACATGCATGCAATTCCATCTGCTTTTCATCTGGCATTTGACTGCATCATTTTTTTCCAGCTACACCAAGTGTACCAGAAAGATCCAGAGCTGCTGGGAGCAAGGTCCCAAAAGGCCAGAATGACAGCAAAGAAAATTTTTTAAATGAAATAAGGACAGAAAGGGTGGTAGCAGGCATCACATGCAAAGATAAATGCACACAGATTAAAAAAAAGGAGCAGCGCTGAGCTCAAACACAGCTCAGAGAGTAGCTGCTGAGAAGGTGCAGGCAGCCTTCACTGGCCACAGAGCATAGCTGGTTAGCAGTGGCCTCCTGTGATACAACTGGGCCCAAGGGACAAATTCACGTCAACCTAAAAGTCTTGGGGGAAGCGGAAAACAGAGAGCAGAAAGCAAATCCTTCGGGCTCACTGTGCTGAAGAAACCCATTAGGATACCCATTTGCCATACCCATATCCTATTAAGCTACAGCATGAAGTCCCTGAGTAAAGTCAGAACTGTCACTCATCGTTCTCATGATGAAAAGACAGCTACATCAACAAAAACTCACAGCAGCATTCTGTAGAGTGACCCTGGGGCAGAGTAACAATATCCAAAAAAGTTTAAGAGGATTCCCAGGGTTTACATTTTAAGATTAGCATGACAAGAAAGACCAAGAAAGTCAGCTTATTTGTATTAGAAGTCCAATCCAGAAAAACTTGTTTACTCTGAGGAAGATAGTGCTGTCTCTTTTATTTCCAAGTTGTTTCCCAACAATTAGAATAATCTTTCCTTGATTTTATAAAACAAGGCATTAGGGCCTAGCAAACTATGAAACTCTAAAACTATTCAGTACAGAAAAAGAGAAAAGTCTTCTCTACGTGTTTTGTTTTTTGTTTTTTTTTTTTGGCCAGAATGAAGGCAGCTAGCACAAACCTGCCTTGCTGAAGGCAAGGTCTTGATCACTACCAGGCAAATTTCCTGTCTATGTTAAAAATGACCTAACCACATCTCTGCAGAATGTTATGCTCACACTCACAGTATAGGAAGCATCTTATGTTTCTGTCTTGCCAGACATTCTGGTAAGCATAAAACCCGTGGGTTTATGTCTGTGGTGACCACATCTCTTGACTGTTGACTTAGGCCATCACACTGAGCTCTCACTAATATTTCCACTTTGAGCCTGTCAACTATAGGGCGGGAAGTCTGTAAGTGTTTTTATACACGGAGCCAGAGATATGAGGGATTCGAAGGAGAGCAGATCCCTAACCAAAGGGAACCCTACTCTTCACACCTTCCAAATAACACCATAGGTGCTCAAAGCACTTCAATAATTCCAGAATTGTATTACTATGGATCTGAATTGAGGAGGGAGGCAGAGATAACACATTCCAATTTCCCCCAAAGTCTTTGCACAAGCCCTCCATTATTTCTCATCTTGAGACCCAATTTCATTTTCCCTTGCTATGGTCAGACCATGTAACAACAAGAGGTACCTATGCCCTTTCTACGCAGAGACCTCATTGATGTGTGAATCCATTCTATTTGTGACATATATACATGTATGCATGAGCTAAGAGCAGCAGAAAACTGTAAACATTTCTATGGCCTTTCTCCTCCTGGAACTATTCAAAACCATCACCTCCTAATGCTTAGATTAGCCTAACTACATCCTTGTCCACTGTTGACAGAAAACTAAGTTAGGGAGAGCTGGGCTGCAGCTCTCCATTCTAATGATGGTACAGGCCTGAGAAGCATACCAAAGTAGGAACAAAAGTACGAACTGAGTCTATTGAAATTTAGAAGACAGAGGAGAAACATGAGAACCAAGTCTATCATGTAGAAGAAGAGTTAGACCTACTCTGTAATGCTCTAGAAGGCACAACTCTGACCAACAGATGGAAGGTTTAGGAAGACAGATGTCAACCAAGCTTATGACACCAAAAACCAGTGGAATCCAGTAAGAGGCTGCCAAGTGGTAATTCTGTTTGCTGCTAGGAGAAACAAACAAAATAAGAGGTAGATGGCCCACCATTTCAGGTGAGGAAGAGAAGAAGATTTCTGCTCAGGGTGGAAAATTGGCTTAGATCAGCGGTTCTCAAATTGGCTTCATTTTGGAATTACATGGGAGCTCAAGTAACTACTAAGCTGCACCCCAGACTTGCCAAGGTAGCACATTAAAGAGTAAATTCAGAAAACTAGGACTAAAGATCTTACCAATCTAGCAGGAGCCACTTAACCAAGCAATCATTTATCATTGTCAAGAACGAGACAAAATGATGATCACGTGCCTTGTGATGTGATGCACTAAAAAGGGCAGACCTAAGGCAAACCTGCCAAACATGCAAGCCTGAATCTAATCACAAGGAAATGTCAGACAACTGAAGGACAGTCTGCAAAACAACTGGCCTGTACACTGCAAAACATCAATGTCATAAAAGACTAAAAAGACTGAGGAATTATTATTCTAGGGTGTGTATGATCCTGGACTGGATTCTGGATCAGAAAAAAAAAAAAAAATTGCCCTAAAGGACATGATTGAGACAACTGGTGAAATTTGAACACAGATTCTGTTATTAGATAATTGTGGTTACACAAGAGACTGTCTCTGTTCTTGGGTGATACATGCTGAATGAAGCATTTGGAGTCAAAGGGTCATGATGTCCATGACTTAATCTCAGTTCATCATTGACTACAACATAGATAGATGGACAGATAGATAGAAAACAAATGTGACAAGGGGCCTCCCTGGTGGCACAGCGGGTTGAGCACAGCACTGTGAAGTCATCCACCCTCTGCAACCAATTCCCGGCCAGCCAAGGAGCTACCCACATGGCAGGGCAGACCTCTCCTGTCTCGCCTGATGCTTCCCTCAGCAGTGTATTTTAGTAGATCTGCCTGTTCTGTTTCGGGCTCTGTCTCTGGTGAATCCTCTCATCCACCCTCCCAAGGCTTTGGCCTGTACCCCGGTTCTTGTATAAATAAATCTTTAAAAAATAATAAATTTAAAAAAAGAAAGAACAAATGTGACAAAATGTTACTAGTCGGTCAATCTAGGAAAAGACTATAAAGCAGTTCATTCCACTCTTTTTGCAACTTTTTGTGAGTTGGAAATCTTTTTTAAATAAAAAGTATAAATGCTTGTTAGGTGATCCTGATCAAATTGACAAGTTCATCCGCGAGCAAAGACAATTTCCAGGTCTTTTCTAACTTTAAGACTGAATTATGGGCCTCCCCTGGTGGCGCAGGCGGTTGAGTGCCGCGCTGTGAAGCTGTCCGCAGACTCTGCAGCGCCGGTTCGATCCCGGCCAGTCGGCGAGGGTCCCACATGGCGCAGCAGACCTCTCCTATCATGCCCGCTGCTCCCCTCAGCAGTGTATTTGGTCAGTCTGCCTGTTCTATTCCCCGCTCTATCTCTGGTGAATTCTCTCACCCTCCTGCACATCTGGCCTGTACCCCGGTTCTTGTATAAATAAATAAATCTTTAAAAAAAAAAGACTGAATTATTTATAAATGTATAGAAAATAAATCTACTCTAAAATCAATTTGACTATTGTTCATCTTATGATATTCAGACCAAGTTAAAAGTATTTTAAATGGTGCGAGTAAACAATTTTAATATTTCCACCTAAACTGAGAAGAACTTACATTTGGACACATTTATACTGAGTTGCTGAAAAAGGGAAGTCTCCATATATTGAAGAGGAACATGAAAACTACCTTTGCTCCCAGGAAAGGCAGCTGAGATTTCTTAACTTCTACATGTGCCTAATAGGCCTTAGCACAGAAATATACTTAAGTAAAATCATTCCTAAATGCAAATCAGATCTATAAAAACCCACAGACTCAGGATAAAACCTGGGGAAGTTAGACTGGAATCAGTTTAAGAAACATTTACTTTCCTAGCAAACACAAATAGCTTTATCCCTTCACTCAGTTGCACTGTTTGGCCTCTGGGGTTGGGGGTAGGGTGGAGGCAAAGGGTGGGATTTCCAAAGAGAGAAGTATGGTCTTCCATTTAGACCAATTTTCTTTCATGTGCACAAAATCAAGGGATAGGAAAATGTGCTTTTAAGAACCTAAGTCTTACCCTTTAATTAGAGCTTTTATAAGCCAACTAAACTAACCATCAAGTGGGAAAACAATCACTTCAAGGTGCCTCCCCCCCCCCAACAAAACCCTGAATAGATTAATTGAACAATGTTTCATTAAGCTTCACCCACTTGTAACAGAGAGCAGATTCCAAAATGCAGCTTTGGAAATGCCACATGGTACATACTTTTAAAAATAGAATCCCAAAAGACATTTTTAAAAAAAGTGGAAATAGAATCTCAAATACTGCTAATTGCCAAATATTATCATATGTAATATTTTCTTATTTAAACTTTTAAGACAATCCAGCAAAGTAGATGGTACACCTCATTTTACAGAAGAGAGACTAATGCTCAGAGAAATTAAGTAACCTGTTCAAATCAACAAAACCAGTAAATGGCAGCACAGAATTCAAACTCAGATCTGACTTGAAAGACTGTGACGTGTTTGCACTCTATCACACTACTTTCAAAAACAAAAAATAAATAAAAAAGAAAGTTCCAGTAAGGAGTCTCACTTGCTAAATCAATATTTCTCAAAGAAAAATATGAAGTATTTGCCTTGTGCAAAAGTACCTTATGTTTCCCTTCCCTGAGGGTGCTGTATTCAGAACAAGTGAAAGATGAATCATGTGAATAATGCAGTGACTCGACCAAAGGCCAGACTATTGCCAAAAACCAAACCTCATCTGAATGAAAACTGAATCAAAAACAGCAGGTGAGAGCACTGAGGAAAGAGGCTACCGCCATCACCCAGCCCATAAACTCTGCCTCCGCCTGTGATGAAGACCTGGGCTGTTCATCATCAGGCCTATCAGACCATTTCTTGTTCTGGCTCACCGGGAGAGGGACTCAGCAAGCGCCCTGCTTGGCTCTACAATGTTATTTGCTATTACTTCAGAGTGTTCAAAGGGTCAAGCAGAGAGAGAAGCTAATGGCTGGGGACAAGGAACTCAGTTTGAAAGCCCCTGGCAGAAATGCACGAACTCAAATGCGAGCCATCAGCGACAGCTTTTAAGAGTAAAATGGAATCTCCCATGCTTCTTCCCCCACACACCACCACAGCTATTGAAAATCAGATGTCACTTCAAAAGAAACACAGAAAGCAGACTAAAAACCTTTAAAACCCATAAGTACAGTTTAATCATATACTGTGCTTATAAAAAGCCAATTTGACATCTTTTAAAAGCATTTTTCTTTTTTGAATTGAAATGATCTTCAGAATCACAATAGTAAATCAGGCATATACTATAGTCCCTTATTTTTCCCCATTTCTGTCATTTCTAAATTTTTTAGACATTCCCAGAAAAGTACCCAAGCTTTCCAGAATTCATAGGGATTTTAAAAACCCCACTGAAGCTGCCTTTTCCCAATCCCAGACAAGCCAAAAGCAGATGGGCAGGAGCAGACAGCAGTGAGTGTGATGAGGAGGCGCCTGAGTGGACCAGAGTGGAAGCCAGAGAGAGCCAGAGAGAAAGTGCAGCTTGGAGAAATGATGCAGAGAAATCCTGACAGCAAAGTACACACCTTGGCATTGATATAAGGATCAAAAGGGCCGTACTTTTTGAGTTCTTTGATCTCAAGAGCATTCTACAAAAAGGAGAGGAAAAGAAAATGTGATGATAAAATGGATGAAATATATCAAAGCAACGCACAGCCCCAAAGGGGCCCAATGCTAGAACAACTCTGATCTGCCCTCCGGTGCCTCAAAAGGAAATTAATAGGGAAGACAACCTCCAGGGCCTGGCACTCACGCCCTCAGATCCAGGCTAACTGGGACCACATTAATGGTTTTTAAATAAATCAGAGTAGTGTGGGTAACTACTACCTAGATCCATTGTTCTTCAAGCTATAGAAGACTTCTTATCCATTGCTACTTCCACCACCCACCTGCCTGCCAGATACTCAGAGTGCAGGGCGGTGTCCCACCTATTAGTGGATGTTCCAGGCAGGAAGCGGCTGTGAGCAGGATAAGCTCAAGCCACACTAGAGTGGCTCAAAAATCCAAGCAGCTGTGTTCCAAGGCCAAAGTGAGCAAAGACAGGATTAGAATGGTTGCTGGAAATTTCTTAAATGAGAAAGGCTTTAATGGGTGATTAGTTTTCTCAACATTGAGGAATATTAGTTAAAAGCAAAAAATGCTTGTAAATTTCCTCCAGATAGAAGTTACCGCTTTAGCCAGGAGGAATAAAACTGCATTCAGACTCTAAAGAGACAATTCTAAAGAGACAATGTTCATTCCTCCTGTTATAAAACAAACATCCTCATTGATGATATTAAATGTCTTTTGCTTACCTATCCAGAAAACACAGCCTGAAAGGGGAAAGGGAAGCTGAACAATAGTTATATACATACAATCTCCAATTTGAAATTTGGATGCACTGTTTTTCTTTTCTCACACATGAGAGGGAAGCTGCCCTTCTCTGAAGCCAAGTCATGCTCTGAACAGTTCACTGAGAACTGACACAGTTTATACTGACAGATGGACTCGCCAGAATGCTTTCCTATTTTTGGAGGGATAACTCAAATCTAGTCCTATAGGTAATTGAACAACCTCCTCTCAGTTAAGTCATTAGGAAAATAGGCCTAAGCTTACTTAGGAAGAATCACATCTCTCTCATTCAAGCAACTGAGAAGAAACATAGCTGCTTCAGAGCAGAGAAAAAAAACGGGGAGTGGCTTGTCACATAGGAAAAGCTCACCTCCTCTCAAATCTAAACTACAGGGAGACATATTTTATAATAGTTTTGTTTAGAAACTGCATAATTCAAGTAGGACATTCCCAAAGGAATAAATATAAAGAAAATGAAGTCTCAGAGCACCTAAATCCATGGCTATTGGAACTTATTTTCTAATTATTTTCTTATTCTCTAAGAATTAGCTCTCCATTGTCAAAGCAAACCCACTCTGGAATGAATATCAGTGCATGTCATGGACATGATCTTCATTCTACTGAATCACCTCTGCTCTCCACTCACAGTTGTATGAAATCATTTTTCTGCACTAGCACAAGCACCTCCTCTTCTGCAAGTTCTGATGGATGAAACACACCAGCATGGTTCCCAGAGTACTGATACACACAGGGAGCATTTCTGTTTACCAGCTGATGTTGCATTGCCTTGTTGATGGTTTCAGCATAATTAATAATTAATCAAGCCCTTCATTTTGAAACTGACTCTAAAACAATTTTACAGGATTTATTTACATTATTTAAAATTTTGTACATTTAGTAAGTATTTGTATTTTTATTACAGCACTATTCTGAATCTGCATGATTCAAATGCACCCTCATGGTCTAAGATTTCCCTGATGTACTAAGGAGCACTACTGGAAGAGGGAACTACTGGTTCCCTGTGATGTGAGTTATGGGACTGAAATGGTGACGGGACTACCAAGGTCTGGCTGTGGCTGAATGAAGGAGTGTTTTCCAGCCTTCCGACCTGTTCGTTGACTCTGGTGTGTGAGGGCCCTTGATGGATGAGCAACCGCACTATCTGGGCATCTCCTTTCCAGGCAGCCAAGTGCAGAGGGTAACAGCCTTTAGAATCAGCCACGTTGGTCAGTGCATCATTCCTCAGGAGAACCTCGACCACATCCCTAAAAGGCAAAAATCAATCATGAGTCGCAGAACCAAAAGTCTTTCCTAATAATAGCTCTTTACAATTGTATAGCACAAAGTCCCTTCACGATCGTCTCTTATCTGGCTCCCCTCTCTCTCCTCGAGCTTACTGCCCAGGCTCATCCTTTGACTCCAGAGCTAGTTGATATGCAGCTGCACCATCTTGAGCCACACTACACTGACTTATCCCCTCCTTGTTTATCTAAGCTTTCTAGATCATCCATCTATTTTCCATTATTTTGAAAATGTCTGGTCCCCTTGTCTAAACCTTGCAATATTTCCTTGTTTGTGATGTTTAAATAGTATTCAGGGATAGAATTTACATAACAGTAGTCATGCAAGACAAATATTATTCACCACATTATTCAGAGCACTTCATGATGTGGGAGCTGAAAGTGGACAAGCAGCAGAATTGAAGTTGTTGCAAACATAAGCCAGACACACATGGTATCATTTGATATATCCAGAAAGGAAGACTTAGCTTTCTTCTTTGTGACACCACTAATTAGGCAGATACAAGTGTGTAATTACCCCCATGCACATGAGGTCAAAGAAAATTCCCACTGGAAATAAAAACAGCATCTGGAGATGAACTTGGCTAATAAGCTACAGTCATTTAAGATTTGCTTTAATTTGGGTTCCTCCATTATTTCAGCAGGGAGGAATCGCCATGGATTCATTTATGAATTATGAGGTAATTTAGGTTACCCCATGATTTAAGTGAGGAGGGATCTGTTGTTAGCTTTATCTAAGAGGCTGCAAAAGACAATGATCATAATCCAGCATGTTTTAGAAAAGTCTAATATAGAAGGAAGTATTCTTTTTTTTATTTTTATATTCCCTATACAATTGCATGATTATTTTGCTCCCATTTCCTCCTTTCCCCGCCGCCACCCCCCCATAGTATGTCTCTGGTTCATAGTTGTTTGTTGATTTTGATTTTTTTCTTTCTCATAGTTATTCTTTTTCCTGGCCCCTTATTTAGGTTTTCTAGATTCCTGCTATGAGTGAGACCATCCGGTATTTTTCTTTTTCTTTCTGGCTTATTTTGCTGAGCATGATCCCTTCCAGCTCCATCCATGTTGCTGCAAATTGCATGTGTTTATCTTTTTTGAATGTTGAGTAATATTCCATTGTGTATATGTACCACATCTAGAAGGAAGTATTCTTTACACCCTCTATTTTGTTACACTCCGGTTTCTGTTCTTCCACATCCTGGCAAATAGACTCACTGTACTCCACAACCCTGCCTATCCATGCACTTGAAGGGTTGCACCCTTTGGGGCCTCCATATCACTTAAACCTATGCTGCCTTCTCTCAGGTCCCCCAAAGCACATCTCCACAGAATTTTCCACACAAATCTCATGATTCTTAATAACTTCTCTATATTTAAGAGAATTAAGTAGACCATATTATGCAAGTGTGTTTTTCCCTTAAAAAAAGATTCTTGTTATCTACAAGGTTAATTTGATGAGGAAATGGTAAGCACAAAGACAGAGTAAATATAAACAACTACTTTAACAGAAGGAAAGTTTCTCATGACTATTCAATCTATTTTCAGTTAATAAATGGGCTGGGTTACCTAACAGGTACCTGACAGGTAACCCAGCCCCTTTAGGATCAAGATGTCCCAAACTAGATCTTCATATTTAGATCATTGTGGGACCCTGCACCAATTCAGTGGGGGGAAGGACAAACCAAAGAAAAGGTAAAACCTAACCACTGGTTAAAGTTTTCTGAAGGGTGGGTAAGGATGTTGAAATTATACAGTACTCAGGAATTCTGGATGGACTGAATTTCGTTTGTTCTTTTCTGTTCCTCGGTGTCACTATTTAGTAATCCTTTACAAGAACAACAACAACAAAAAAGCCTAAAAGCAGAAATGCAGCATATTAATACTTACTTATGGCCATTCAGAGCAGCATGGTGCAGAGGTGTGTACCCAGTGCTGTCAACACAGTTCACGTTTGGCCCTCTCCAGATGCTACAGGGGGGAAAGAAAGATGCAGTCATAAGCCAAATTTAGAGACAGCTAGCTGCTTGGAAAAAAATCCTGTGTGGTGTTTAGCCAAACCGGTTACTTCCACATGAATCCTAATAAAGGACAGCAGCTGGACAAGGATTTAAGGGTCAAGACAAGTGTCACCATTTAAGAACTTGGTCTTCTGCACCCTTCTCAACTGCAACTTCATTATTCTCGCAGTTGGAGAGGCATGCCTCTGAATAGTCCCAGGATTGTAAGAACAGCTCTTGGAAAGGTCATCAAAAATATCACTGAACCAAACCACTCAGCCAGTCACAAGTATTGAGTACCTAGCTCTATGCTGGTGACTCAAGTCTGGGATAAACTTCAAGAAAAATCAGAAAACCAGGACAATTTGACCAGCAAGAACAAAGATCAAAGAAGCCACAATAACAAAAGGACCGGGCCCTGGTGGCACAGGCAGTTGAGCACCGCGCTGCGAAGCTGTCTGCAGCCTCTGCAGCGCCAGTTCGATCCCGGCTGGCCGGAGAGGGTCCCGCATGGCGCGGCAGACCTCTCCTGTCTCGCCCCAGTGCTCCCCTCAGTCAGTCAGTCGGCCTGTTCTGTTCCTGGCTCTATCTCTGGTGAATCCTCTCACCCTCCTGTGCATCTGGCCTGTACCCTGGTTCTTGTATAAAAATAAATAAATCTTAAAAAAAATAAAAATAACAAAAGCACCAGGATACATGTGTTATGGTACAAGAGATAATTTTATCTTTCTTTGTGACCATGTCTTATTGATAATAAAAAGAACAACAGGAGAATCTACAATTTGTGTGCCCTACTTGAATCAGAAATACTATGCTAGAAAGGTTGAAATACCATCTTATTTAATTTTCAAAAACTTAATTCTTACATGTTTCACATCTTACTGGACCAGCCAGACTTAAAAGTTAAATAGCAGAGGGTAGCTTTGTTTTGTCCTAGCTTTTGATGAGAATGCTTCTAATATTGTTGGCAGTTGGTTTGGTATAGACACTCTAGAACATGTAAAGGAAGTACCTTGCTTTTTTTTCCCTTTAAAGGTATTATTAGAAATAGTTGTTTACATTAAATGCATTTCGGCACCTATGGAGACCAATACAGTTTTCCACATTAAACCAATGAATATGTTGTTATCAATAGGCTTATAAATATTGAACCATTCTTTTAGTCCTGGGATTTGACATTATCCATTATGGTCATGTCTCAGAGTATCCACTTGAGAGTATTTTACTCAGAATTATCGCATTTGCATTCATAACAGAGACTGGACTAAAGTTTTTGTTTTTTGTTCTTACTGCATTGGATAGTATCAGTGTCAGTTTGGGTCACAGATCAGCTGCCCAGTTTTGTACCCATTTTGTTATTCACAAAATCATTGACACAAAACACTAAAATTATAAGGACTCACCAGTAAAACCATCTGGGCCTAGATCTTTTGTGTTCAGATGCTAGAAGCAACATTACTTATAACAATACAATTTTGGGAAGAGTCCAAAAAGTCTATCGATAAGAGAAATTATTATGATTGTTAAGGTATAGGCACAGAGTAGAATATCCTATCCCACTTGTATCGCTATATAATAAGAGAAAATGAGATTATAGTATAATATTAAAGAGAAAAAAGAAATAATTGTAAATACTGTATAGAAAGAATCTGTGAGGGACATTTCTCAGATCTGTGAATTGAGCTGACCACTTTATCTTCTGTCAAAAGTTGTATGAAATAACAGAAACAATTCTCACCCTACACCACAGACATAGTTAGACAGACAGACAGACCGGTAGATTCAGCTTAAGAGACTTATATGTCATCAACTAACTGACTATATTGAGAAATTCCTCAAAGGCAGAAATCAGACAAAATCAAATCTGCAGACACAACCGAGAAGAATGCAAGTTCTTCTAGTAGACTCGCACAAATGAAAAGCATTATATTATGAAGTGTTTATAAATATCAGGGTAACAGGCACTCTTAAATACCACTGGTATGAGTTTAAACTGGTAAATTTCCTTTGGGAAGACAATCTGGCAGCATGCACCAAAACCAAAAATAGGCATTCACTGGAGCCAGCACTTCCACTTCTAGGCAACCATCCAACAGAAACTCTCACACATGTGCACAAAAACACATGCTTTTAAGGGACTGCTTCACTGTAAGAGGAAACACTAAAAACTTAATGTCCAATAGGTGAGAGTTCAATACAGGTACATCCACAAAATGAGTTACTATATAATCACTAGCAAAAACAAAGGAAAGGAAACAAGTTAGACCTATAGGTCCTAACATAGAAAGAGTCCCTAAGAGCCTCCCTGGTAGCCTAAGGGTTAAGTCTCAGCACTATCACCACAATGGCCTGAGTTTGATCCTTGGCCAGGGAGCTAACCAACAAATGGCGCTGCAGACCTCTCCTGCCTTGCCCTCTGCTCCCCTTGGCAATGTATTTCAATGAATCTGGTTCTTCTACCTCCCACTCTGTCTCTGGTGAATCCTCTCTCATCCCCGCCACCTCTGGCCTAGACCCCAGTTCTTCTACACCAAAATAAATAAAATCTTTAGGAAAAAAGAAAAAAAAGATTTCCCAAGACATACTATGTTTTATGAATAAGTGAAAGAGAAGCCACTGTCTAGTACACAAAATGTGTACCCCATTTTTGCTAGCGTATATATAACTACACACACCTGTACGTTGATGGCGATTGAAAGAGTGCTCCCCCGGTACTGACAGAGGTTATCTCTGGGGAAGGAAAGGTGTGCTTGGGGCATGGCAGAATGGTTAGGACGGACTTCCATGTTCTGCTCTATGTTCTACCACATGGTTTAAAACTTTTACAACAAGAATGGATTCATGCAGTTATGTTTAAATAATTTTTCAAAGGAGAGAAAGAATCTATGCACAGGGAAAAGACAACAAGAAACCATGGAAATGTTAATAAATGATGGCAAATGTGTGACGTGTCCACCTTAACAAGCATATAAGTTTAAAATCTGCTGAAACATTTGAAGTGAGAGGAGAGGGTATGTGCGCTTTGGTTTCTAGGTTTCTTGTTCCTCATTGACTATGAGGATGTTGATGTCAGGTCAGGAACCTGAGGTGGATCCTGGTACCCCATCCTCCATGAAGCATGGTCTCCTATAGCACCTTCAAACATAGAGGTAAAGGCCATTATATATACCTTTGTCCCACTTGTGCAATGAGCTCATTTTCTTTCTTTTTCTTTTTAAAGATTTATTTATTTATGCATACAAGAACTGGGGTACAGGCCAGAGGTGTGGGGGTGTGAGAGAATTCACCAGAGACAGAGTGGGGAACAGATCAGGCAGACTGACTGAAATACACTGCTAAGGCGAGACAGGAGAGGCCTACTGCACCATGTGGGTTGCTCCCTGGCCGGCTGGGGATCGAACTCGTGCTGTAGGGGCAGCAGATAGCTTCTCAGTGCTGTGGTTAATCCCTTGTGCCACGAAGGAGGCCCTCATTTTCTTTCTTTCTTTTTTTTAAGATTTATTTATGCATACGAAAGCTGGGGTATAGGTCAGAGGTATGGGGTGGTGAAATGATACACCAGAAACACAGTGGGAAACAGAACAGGTGGACTGACTGAAATGCACTGCTGAGGGGTGCAGTGGGCCAGAGAGGAGAAATCTGCTGTGCCATGTGGGTAGCTCCCTGGCCAGGGATCAAACTCATGCTGCAGTGGCTGCGGAGAGCTTCATAGAAATGAGACTTAACACTTGAGCCACCAGGGAGGCCCCCATGAGCTCATTTTCTAAACCAAAAAATATTTTCCGGTACCTAATCATGGATTCAATAATGTAAAGGGAAACATATCTAGGAAATCTAGGGGTTCCATGTCCATACTGATTTTCAAATTGCCTCACAAGACAAAAGATCATTGTTCTAATATAAAATAGGTGACACTAAGAATCCAAAACCAAATTATTTGCTCCAAATCACAAGCTCCCATTTATGAAACTCTTGGCATTTGGCCAAACAATGATTTTACGATCTAACTGGGGTGACAAGATGAAGTGAGCATGTAGTAATACGAGGCCATACATAATTCAACAGCAAGATGACTGGACTAAACCAACAGGAGTTGGGAAAAAGGAAATCACTCACACTGTTAAAGCATTTGGGAGCATCGGCCATACTAAGGCCTTTCAGCTCTTAGTACTTCATTACTCTCCCTTTAACCATCTCAACGTAGGTCGCAAAGTAACCTTGCAACTTAAGACTTAAACTGTCCCTGCTTTTAACAAAAAGGCAGAACTGAAAGAGCTCTCTGTCATTTTCTGAGTTTTACCTCATGGTTTAGAGGTGATTAAATTTGGATATCCTACACCAGTCCTAAGGGTTCCCTCAAAACAATTAGAAAAGACATGGAAGTAAGAGAAGAACTTCCCTTAAAGTGGCAACATTTCCATCTAGCAAGGCCTCCCCACCCTCTTATCTCTCATTAGCATTTCCTCTAAACGTCCATCTAGAAATGTTGGGAAATGGTAACTATATTAAATGAAACCAAAATGAAAATGGAAAACTGTAATCTCTTTGCTTGGAATTTTAGCTTCAGACAGGATGGTAGTAACATCCCCCTCCACCCAAGTTTCTTCCTTTCTGGCAGCCCAAGAAAAGAGCTATTTACAATCTAGGTCTTCCTCCCTATCACAGCTGTCCTATTAAGTTTTTTTAAAACAGTAAGTCCCAAAGAGCTGCTTGGCACCAAACAAAAGCAGAGTACAATGGACCAAGAGAATCAGGGGAAAAAACAAAATCAAAAGAGTCTAGGAGAGTCCTAAGTCAAGTCTAACCTGTATTGATTGTGCAGAAATGCAATAGCGCCCTTGACTTGCACAACAGACCCGCAGAGTGATTTTGATGGGTCTTAGAGCAATCACAGCAATCCTACAAGAAGAAAACTAGGTTAAGAGCTTGGGCTCTGAAGTTAGTAGCAGACCTAACTTCAAAATTTGCAAA